ATGATGATGATGGTGGTGGTGATTATGACGATGGTGGTGATGATGACGATGGTGGTGATGATGATGATGATGGTGGTGGTGATGATGACGATGATGACAGGTCTTATACGCCCCGAGACCAACGCAAGTCAAGCATACGAAAAAGTCCAGTTTCAATGCTAGAGCTGTTAGTGTATTCATTTATTTTTCTTCATTCATTCATTCATTCATTCATTCATTCATTCATTCATTCATTCATTCTTTCTTTCATTCATTCTTTCATACTCACCACACACACGCACACACTCACACACACATATACATATGCATACATACATCCATGCATACAAACATACACACACACACACACGCACAGAAACTGGATTCAACCAGCACGCTTCGGTTCCTACTCACAGAGCACAAAAGGGTATTACTATTATTCGTTTTATTGTTTTTAATATCATTATTATCGTCTTATTTTAAATATTTTCCGCCTTAATTCTTTCTTTCTCTCTCTCTCTATCTCACACTCTCTTTTTTCTTTTCTCTCTATATATTTACTCTGTCTATTCGTTGTTCATTTGTTCACACTGTCACACACACACACATGCAAACACACACACACACACACACACACACACACACACACACACACACACACACACACACACACTCACACACACGTACACAGTCGATGCCAGCCAATTACAGATTCACGTTGTACGACATAGGGCAGGTTATAAATAAACTGATGGGCGGTGGCTTCCAGGCTATTTATGGCAGGCGGAAATACCGCCTCTTGCATAATGCGGCTAAAAATAAGGTTGGGTAATTTTTTTCAACTTTTTCATTTGTTCGTTTATTTGTTTTTTTTTTATGATTCTTTCGTTCTTATGATCGTTTTAGCAAGCATTTTAATTATATTCATTAATTCGTTTGTGAGTTGTTTCAATTGATTATATATTCATCACATGTTTGTTCATTCACTCTCATCATTCATTCATTCATTCATTCACTCATTTATCTTATTTTTCATCTTTATCCAGCAAAGCTTCAGGTCCTCAGTAGCTTCCGGCACAACAGCAGCAGCTGGTGCAGCAACGACAGCTACTCTGCCAGCTACTTCCGATGAGTATGAGTTGTTGTTGTCGTCCGGATTCAAATATCCATACAGCGAGCTCATGATTTGGGCTGTCTTGTTACGCAGGCAAAAGATGGCGATGTTCATGTGGGAGAGAGGGGAGGAGTCACTTGCCAAGGTTGATTGTGATTGGCTGGCTGCTTTTCAGTGGTTGATATTGATTGGCTCGTTGCTCGTGAATACTTGATTGTCATTGGCTTGTTGCTTGTGTTTGCTTGATTGTCATTGGCTTGTTGCTTGTGTTTGCTTGATTGTCATTGGCTTGTTGCTTGTGTTTGCTTGATTGTCATTGGCTTGTTGCTTGTGCTTGCTTGATTGTCATTGGCCGCTGGTTGTTCAGTTGATTACGTTCTTTCAATGATTGATCATCATTATTATCACCAACACCATTATCATCATCATCGTCGTCATCATCATGATGACCAGTGCCTGGTTGCCGCCAAGTTGTACAAAGGAATGATAAAGGAATCGGAAGAAGATGAGTACGAGATTGATGTGGCTAATGAGATAAGACGATACCACTCGTTAGTTATTATTATACTTCTTCTTCTTTCTCATCACTGTCTAGACGACATCATCTCATTTGTCGTAATCATCACTGTCTAGACGACATCATCTCATTTGTCGTAATCATCACTGTCTAGACGACATCATCTCATTCGTCGTAATCATCACTGTCTAAACGACATCATCTCATTTGTCGTAATCATCACTGTCTAGACGACATCATCTCATTCGTCGTAATCATCACTGTCTAGACGACATCATCTCATTCGTCATAATCATCACTGTTTAGACGACATCATCTCATTCGTCATAATCATCACTGTCTAGACAATTCTTCGACATGGCGACCGAGCTATTAGACCATTGCTACAAGACGAATGAGGAACTATCGCAACTCCTACTGACGTACGAACTCAGCAACTGGAGTAATGAGACGTGTCTAAGTCTAGCCGTTGCTGGTATGTCTGTCTGTCTGTCTTCTTGTCTGTCTGTCTTCTTGTTTGTCTGCTTGTTTGTCTGTTGGATGATGCATTATTACCATCATAAAGATGGTAATAATGATGGTTAATAACGATGGCGATGATCATAACGACGATAAAGATGATTTATCATTACTATTATAGATCTTTCGTACATTGGTATATACCCACATACATACACACACAAAAACACACATACACATATATACACACGCACACAGAAACGCACAAAGACACACACATACATACACACACACAATAACATACACACACACACAAAAACATACACACAGACATGCATATACATACATATTTATAGGGTCGAACAAGTCGTTCATAGCCCACACGTGCTGTCAACTGCTGCTAACTCAGATGTGGATGGGTGGACTGAGAACTAGGAAATACCCCAGCCTTAAGGTGATGAGGATGATGATGAAGATGATGATGAGGAGGATGGTGATAATGAGGAAGATGATTATCATAATGATAACGAAGATGATGATGATAAAGAAGATGATGATGATAATAATGATTATGAAAACGACGATGATGATGATGATGATGTTTCATTCATTCATCCTTCCAGGTGATTTTCGGCATCCTCTGCTTTCCATCCATCCTGTTCTTCAGTTACAGAAGTAGGGAGGAGCTGGAGATGATGCCTCAAACGCAAGTCGGTTGGATGGATGGATGGATGGATAAATGAGTGAAGAAATGAACGAATGAATATGTGATTAGATAGATGAATGAATGAGTGAGTGAACGAATGAGTGAACGAATGAGTGAATGATCGAATCCACAGGATGTTCACGAGCACTACAGCGATGTCGATTCCACCGATTCCGATTCGGATCTGACCGACACTGAAAATGCAGCCATTCTACAGGTATCATCATCATCATCATGGCCATCATAATCATAATCGTCACCATCCTTACCATCATCATCGCCACCACCACTCAGACGCTGCAGCAGCAGCAGCAGCAGCTTCAGCACTTGCAGATACCCAACGTCATAGTAGACGTACCAGACACTCCGGTAAAGATAGCGCCATCGTCGGCTGTGGCAGTGACCACAGCAGCCGCTGGTGGCCAAGCAACGTCAGCTGTCAATTCAGTCGCCGTCTCTACGACTGCTTCCGTCAATTCTACTGATGCCGCTATAGGGAAGAACGCCTCGCCTTCTGTCTCCGTGCTACAGGTTTGTTTACTACTATTATTATTATTGTTATTATTGTTGTTGTTGTTATTGTTATTTGTAATTGTTGTTCCTGATAGCATCAGAGGTCACAGCGGACTAGGTTCGGCCAGTTATCCAGGTCAAGATCCAAAAGACATCATAGGTTCGTACGTTCGTTCTGTCGTTCGTTCGTTCGTTCATTCGATCCGCTCATTCTTTCATTCATTCACTCACTCGTTCAACTTTTCATTCTTTTTTGATAGATTTATCATTCATTCATTTATTTATCCGTTTGTTCGTTCATACATTCGTTCGTTCCTATCGTATTTTTTTTATTGCTTGTTAATTCGTTCTTCATTATAATCAGGTCAAGGTCGAACCTGAACGACATGCCCTTCCAGAAAGAGGTCATTGCCCCAATTATTGACTCCGGAAAGCGCAGCCAACTTCACATAACGAGCAAGATCGTTGAATTTTACACGGCACCTATCACTAAGTTTTGGCTTCACGCCGTAAGTACTTTTGCCATTTATATTAGTCTTGTTAAAAGATCAGTAACAGTAGAGGAAAATTTCGACCAATTACACTGCTTATTGGATATTCTTATTCATTTTTTCGACCAATCAGATCAGTTATTGCTAAATTTTGTTCATATTTACTAGCAGCCAGATCAATTATTGCTTAATTGTATTCATAATTTGCTTTAATCAGATCAACTGCATCATAATTGTAATTATAATTTCGACCAATCAGATCGGTTATTGCATATTTCTACTCATCTTCATCTACATGGTCCTCCAATCAACGCCAGTCTTCTTTCCGAGCTATATTGAATGGTACATATTTGCCTACATGTGTGGTCTGACATTGGAGAAAATAAGAGAGGTGAGTAATGATGATGATGACGATGACGACGATGGTTGTGATGATGATGACGATATTATAGTTGATGGTAATGATTAGGTTTATATTTTAAAAACATACATTCGTTCGAACATACACAACGCACACACACATGATGACACACGCAAAAAACTCACACAAACAAACACACACTAACAAATACACAAACATACAAACAAACAAACAAACAGTTCATAACAAGCGAAGCAACGAAAATCAAACAAAAAATCCACATCTTCTTCTACGACCTATGGAACTTACTGGACATGATGTCCATCTGCCTCTTTTTTACTGGCTTCGTCATAAGGTTCTCACCAAGTTTAATTAGCAGCGCCAGGGCTTTTTTTTGCCTGACCGTCAGCGTCTGCATCATCAGGGTGGTCGACTTTTTCGTCATCAGTCCAAGGCTGGGTCCTGTGGTTCATACCACTGGCAAGATGGTTGGTTTTGAGATGTTTGTTTGTTGTTGTTGTTTGTTTGTTTGTTGTTGTTTGTTTGTTTGTTTGTTTGTCGTTGTTTGTTTGTTGACGATGTTTGTTGGGCTTATGAACATTTCTTAAAAAGGAAGTCAAATTTTCTCAAACCTGATCATTACCGAAACGAAAATTGAAAGTCAAAAAAAATTTTTTTAGAAATAAATTCCAAAAAAAACAAAAACGAAACTTAACAGTTGAAGGAGTTCCTGAGCCTGCTCTCGCTGATCCTTGTCTCAATGGTGGCATTTGGAACCTTCCGACAGAGCCTCTGGTTCCCTGACAACGATTTTGAGTGGGAGTCTGTACGTGAGATATTCCTGAAGCCGTACTTCATGCTATACGGAGAAGTCTACCACGAAATCGTCTGGCGTGAGTTTTTTGGCGGTTTTTTTTGTAATTATAATTATCATAATTATGATATTATTTTTATGATATTATTGTATATTATTATTATTATTATGATTAGCGGATTGTGTCGACAACGTGACGTCACCAGATGATTTTAAATGCGTGTCCGGGCGATGGTTGGTGCCAGTTGCACTGTCCATCTATCTGGCCGTTGGCATTATCGTCCTACTGAGTCTCGTTATTGCCGTTTTCAAGTTAGTTTGCGCGCGTGTGTTTGTTTGTGTGTTTGTTTGTTTGTGTTTGTGTGAGTTTGGTGTTATTGTGTATGTGATTGTATGTGTGTTTGGTGTTATTGAATATGTGTGTGTTTGGTGTTATTGTTTTTGTTGTTTTTCCTGGTTTTTATCGTTTGTCGTCTGCTTTTTATTCGGAATCATGATGATTGATTGTCATCATCATCATCATTTTCAATCACTTCCTGTCTTTAATTTTATATCCGTAATTCTCTAATAACCACACCTACAAATACCTTCACTCACGTTCACACACACACACCACACACACACACACACGTACACACACACACACGTACACACACACACAAACACACACACACACACACAAACACACACACACACACACGTACGTACACACACACATAACAGTGGCATATTCATGAAAGCCTACCTACAATCAAACATTGTGTGGAAGTTTCAAAGATACGTATTGGTTATAGAATACGAAGCCAGACCCATACTACCATCTCCGTTCATCATCATCAGTCATATCATCATGGCCATTCGCTTTGTCGTCCAGAGGTGCATTAATAAGAGGAAGAGATTTGATCAAGGCTTGAGTTAGTAACTCATTCATTCCTTCATTCATTCATTCATTCATTCATTCATGCATTCATTCATTCACTCATTTCATTCCTTCAATCCGTCAAGAGGTTTTCCTGCACGAGGAAGACTTGGAAAAGTTGCATGACTTTGAGGAGGAGTGCATGGAGTTGTATCACAGGGAGAAGTCGCAACTGGCCTCTAATACTAATGACTACTTCATCAAACAGACTGTCGACAAGTTCGTGTGTGTGTGTGTGTTATTGATTGATTAATTGAGTGAGTGAGTGAGTGAGTGAGTGAATGAGTGAGTAAGTGAGTGAGTGAGTGAGCGAGTGAGTGAGTGAGTAAGCGAGTGAGCGTTCGACCGACTGACAGACTGACCGATTGATTAAGCCTAACACTAACATCAACACAACACTAACCTCAAAATCGAAGGCTAGAGAAAGCATCGAATCGTTTGGACGACATTCAGCAGAAGGAAAACTCAATCAGTCAGTGTCTTCTCATGATGGAGCTGCATCTCAGCCGCATAGAAGAAGTTGCCCTCGCCACCTCAACGTCTCTTTGGTCGCTTCAGCAGCAGTTTTTAATGGTGCAGCAGCAGCAACAACAGCCTGCTGATTTGAAGCAAGAAGTACAACACGAACCACAACAACGCGATAGCATCATTTCAACTCGAATGTCGACTCCCATTTCACCGTTCGATCTTCAGAATTTAACCGGACCAAAACAAATTCAAACTACAATACCACAAATTAAAATATCGACCGCCAACGAAACCAACGATCCTAAATTAACTCGAACCATTTCCGCCTCGCAAACGTCCCCAAGTAAGGCAGCGACCGACCAGCCACAGACCGCCACACCGACCAGCAGCAGTTCATCAAATTTCAGACTAAGAAGAAGCACTAAGGGCGGTACTACTACTGCTTCCAGTGTCGGTAAAAATGTCGGTAACCGGTCCAGCACTGCCAGTGCAGGCGGTCGAGTCGATGCCACTGGTAACAACAACAACAATTATAATAATAACATTGTCATGCCAACCAGCAGTCGAAGGAACCGGTCCTACAGTGACTACGTTGAATCGTTGAGTGACGACAGACTGGAATCACTATCGAGGATTCCTACGTTATATAGGAATGCCGAACAGAAATATTCTTCGTTCTATCCGGTCAATCGATTCGTGGAGCTGCACCCATCCGATCGACCCCCGCAAAGCCAGCAGCCATCATCGTCCAGTAAGCTTGATGCCAAGTTACGATTTCTACAGCAGCAACAACAGCAGCCACTGAGTCCACAACTCGTTCATTTATTGCCGTATGCGCAGCAGCAGCAGCAGCATCCACTGCAGCAGCTGCAAGAAGAACCTCATCCTACCTATCCAGTGGCTTCTAGTTCATTCCATCAAGCGCTTCCATCCTACTCGTTCATGAAACCGCCCTTCAGTCACTACCCGACCGATTGCGCCAGCTGGAAGAAGTACGCACACTTCCCTCTCACCCCGATAGTCACACCGATGCGAGTCGAGTACACGAGCATCACCGACGACATCGACACATCGTCCTTCCTCTTGAACGATTCCAGCCAGAGTCCTCCAGACACACCGCCCCCCTACTCCATCCCGCAAACCAAATTGTCTTCCACGTCCACCGGGCCATCTGCAGCCACCCCTTCGTTCATCTGGCCGGGTGGTCGCATCAAGTCCGGCAATGTTGTTGGCGCCAGCAAGCGAGGCAAGAAGAAGAAGATCCGTTCGACACCTCCCGGCAGAAGGTTCAGCTCAGGATCGACCGTTAAGAGCGGCCGGGAAACTGACAGATTGAAGGAGGCCGAAGAAAATGTGAACGAGCAGTTGAAGACGGTCGTGAAACGTCGAATGAGGCAGATGTCGCTAACCGAACCAGACAACGAGTATGCTAATTTGGCCAAGTACGCTCTGGAGACAATCGAATTTCCTGAAGAGGAGGAGGAGATTGATTTCGATGACGAGGACGAGTGTGAGGATGAGTTCGATCCGGATTGTGATGCATGCAGGTTGAGGTGGAAAGCTCGAGGAAGAGACACTGAGGACAACAAGTCAGTCGAAAATTCTCTCCTCAAGACCAGCAAAATTCCCCTCTGCAAGTCCAATGATGACATAAGAAACACAACCGAGTCACGTGCAGGGCCAACTGTTTCTGCTGTGAAATTGCGTCATAATCATCACCACCATCACGATCCTCATCACCATCTTCGTCGTCGCCATCAGAAGTACAACGAAGATGGAAGCACGGTTGAAGTGATCGCTGGGGGCCACCGAAGCAGCGGTCGGGGCGGCAAACTGAAAAGTGTAAGATCTGAACCATCCATGGCTCTGCCCGATCTGGGGTCTGCAATCCGCGGTGTATCTAATAACCTCATCACGTTGAAGGAAGGAACGAAGGAGGAGGAGGAAGAAGAAGAAAAGTTGATGCTGAAGTTGAAGAAGAAATCGTGTGCGGATAGCACGGCGACCACTGTTGTTGTTGAGTCCGCTGATGAAGATGAGGATCGTGGTGAGAAAGTTAACGATGTCTGCGATCACTCACTTACTAACACTCGATTCATTATCGGTGGTGGCTGTAGCGGCGACACCGCCTACAAAGATTCGATATCGAGTAATCCTACCGAGTTTATCGACTCATCTCCATCGAGGTTGTTGATTGAAGATGAGTTTAATGGCATTGAGATGGTGATGCTCTCTCACTGCTCGAGCGATCAACAACCGCAGCAACATCAATCCTCGCCTAAGGAACAATCTCAACAACAACAACAACAACAACATCGTCGTCGGTTATCATTTGGCCCAGCACAGCAACAACAAACACAACAACCGCAAAACAGACTTTCGTTTAGTTTTGTGCAACAACATCAGCAGCAGCAGCAGCAACTTCAACAGCAACATCAAGAGGAAGAAATGAGGTTGCTAGCCAACGCAAATTCTCCTATAATCACCGATACTATTATATTTGACCCTATCGTTGACGATCATTCTACAGCTTAAGTAAATGAATGAATAGATGAATGAATGAGTGAATGAATGAATGAATGAGTGGATGAATGAATGAACAAACAGATGGAAGAAAGAAATTTTAATTGTGTAACCGGGCATAACATTTTGTTTAGTTGTTGTCTTTTTGTTGATGTCTCCGATCGGATGTGGAAGAAGAAAATCTGAATTGATGCTACCATTGTATTGCACTCTATTACATCATCGTTATTACATTACATTTTTATGACATCATTACCGTAATTACATGCTGTTTTATAATTTAGCCTAAGCGGTTTCTCTTGAAATTATTGATTTTTTTTGCCAATAATTCTTGATAATGATGTTGTGATGAAATGGCCATGATGATGATGATGATGATGATGATGATGATGATGATGATGATGATGATGATGATGATGATGACGATGATGATGATGATGATGCAAACAAAATGGTTACGATAATGATGATAATGATGATGACGAAATGATGATAATGACGAAATGATGATGATGATTGTATAGTTAATAAAGTTAGGTCATCTGCTAAATAAGTCTAGAAGCTGATAATTTTATTACGATGGGAATGATAGAGTTATTATTATTATTATTGCTATTATGATTATTATTATTATGATAATGATGTAACAAACGAACGAACAGACAGACAAACAATCAAACAAACTAAAACTAACTAACTAAAAAACGAACGAACCAAAAAAACTGAAAATTTTTTGTCAGAGTTTTATCGACTTTTTTCCTATTTAAATTTTGATTTTAACTGCAAAACCATGTTCACTGTTGTTAAAATTTTTTAATAATAATTTGATAATTTATTTAATTAATTAATTGATTAATAGGACATTGACTCTTTGTTTTACCAATGAAACCGTTGATGTTAAGTTCTTTTTGGATTTCCACTATAACATGAGTGGATTTTTTGTTTGAAAGTGTGTTTTTCATTTGCTGTTTGTATGTATGTTTGTTTGTTTAGATATGTGTGTATGTATGTTTGTATGTATGTTAGTTTGTTTAGATATGTGTGTGTGTGTGTCTGTTTGTCTGTGTGTTTATCTTCCTTCATTTTCATTGTGAAACTCAAAAAAACCCGGACAATTATGTGATTCTTTCCTAATTTGAATTGAAATAAAAAGTTAAAAAGGTATTTATATTAACGCGTGTATATATATATATGTATATATATATATATATATATATATATATATATAATAACATTATTATTCTTTATTTATTTAATAAAATACTATTGTCCTAATATATATATATATATATATATATATATATATATATATATATATATATATATATATATATATATATATATATATAACAACATTATTATTCTTTCTTTATTTAATAAAATACTATTGTCCTAAATAAAGGGCTGGGCAGATGTTGATAATGATCTTAGGAGATGAAATGCGTTATTATTATTTTCATTATTATTCATATTTTTTTATATTTTTATTATTCATATTATTCTTTATATTATTATTATTATTATTATTATCATGTATATCTATGTTAAATTCTTATCGTTTTGTTGCAGATTAATTTCACCTCATTTGTATTATATACGAGCTGTGTAATATTTATGTATGTATTTATGTATAATGTGTCTTTATTATTTTTTTTATATTATTTCGTTTATTATTTATTATTATTATTTATTTATTAGTTTGAAATAATTAATTTGCTTACATTTTCACCCAATCGATGAATGAACGAATGAATAAATTAGTAAAAAAAAATGAACGAATGGAAAAACCGATTAGTATTGTTGTGTTTTTCTTTCTGCTATTCACGAAATCAAGCTGGCGATCCGTGTCCATCCGGCAGTTCTCCGTAAGAGATAATCAAACCCCTGCTCAAAATCAGATGTTTTAAGAGCTATGATGAATTTCTCGCTAATCAAACTCAACAAGAATTGTTCTGGAAGGAAATAAGATTCATGGCGTTAAGGGATATTGAACTATTACAATAAAGGCTTTCTAAAATAATCGTAAATTTTTTTGACCGAATCAAGCATCTACATGTGTGGGTGTATGTACATGCTAGATCCCCAAGCAGAGAAGATTTTTCTAAACCGCCTGCATCCGCAGAGTTCACGCCCGCAACCGTAACACGGTGGCCGAGTCCACAAGAATTAATTTTCTTTTTTTTTGATGACGTCATTTGCCCATCCAATTTTACAAGTTTTATTTGATGTTTTTTAATTAGCCAGTCACAAAAACCATCGTCGGCATCGCAATGAAATCAAATTGAGAATTTTTAAAATTTTTGAAAAAAGTATCTTTATTCATTTTAAGATACCACTTTGTTCAATAAGATACTGTTTGATACTGTACTTTCAATTAATCAGTCACTCAACAACAACAAATCTTTGATGTGTTTTTGTCAAATCAAAAACATCATGTATGTGATTATGTGTGTGCTTATGTATGTGAGAATGTTAGAAGGAATGTATGTGTGAATGTTTGTATATATATTTCTCTCTCTATCTCAATCTCCCTCAGTATCTTCCCTTTCATTCTTTTTTCTTTCCTGCTCTCTCTTTCTATTTCTCTCTTTCTCTCTCTCTCTCTCTCTCTCTTTCTCCCTCTCAGCAACTATCACCAGGAGATACATTAGAGAGCAAAAATGTAAACATGTAAGAAGTAGGAATGAGATGATAGTAGAAAAAAAATAATTCGCGTTCATCATTCATTATTCTTGCTGACTTGTGCCGCACAAAACAATAATAATAATGAAAATTACTATTATTATTATTATGAATATTATTATTTTTATTATACTTTACTTTTGAAATTAACAGTGTAACGGATTTTTACCACTGTGATTAGAGAAATTTTGGACAAGAGGATGAGCCCAGGAAAAACTGTACTCGTTCGTTCATTTGTTCGTTCATTCATTCGTTCGTTCATTCATTTATTCATTCATTCATCAATTCATTCATCTATTCTTTCATTCATTTGTATGTTCGTTCGTTTGTTCATACATTCATTCGTTCATTCATTTATTCATTCATTCATCAATTCATTCATCTATTCTTTCATTCATTTGTATGTTCGTTCGTTTGTTCATACATTCATTCGTTTGTTTGTTCCTCACACCATCTGTAATAGGATACAAATTAAGCATTATTCTTATGTAATGTATATTGTAGTAGTAGTAGTAGGAGTAGTAGTAGTAGTAGTAGTAGTAGTAGTAGTAGTAGTAGTAGTAGTAGTAGTAGTGGTAGTAGTATATTACACTTTCTTTGTGTTCAAGTGTTCTGCCTGTTATTATTATTATTATTGTTATTATTATATTTTCGTGTATGTAATTTTTCATGTCTTTGTTCGTCTTTGTTCGCGCGATTTTATTCTTCGTCTCTTTTCTCTAGACAACTTTTCAGCATTATCATTCGCATATGTTTTTTATAAATCAAGAAAAATCATCAACACCGTCATCATTATCACCATCAGCATCATCACCATCATCATCATAATCGTCATCATCATCACCATCGTCATTTATCTAGAGCATCATTTTCCGGAAAAACAAAAAGAATATAAACCAAAAAAAATAATTTCATCTAACGTCTTAAAATTTCTTACAAAATTACAAAAAGCCGATAAATGATGAGGACCAAGATGATGATGATGGCGACGATGACTATGATGATGATTCTGTTGCTGCTGCTGATGATGATGATGAGGACGAGGATGATGATGATAATGATGATAACGAAAATTTTCTATTTATAAAGCAACAAAATCATTTTTTAAAACAATTAATCAACGAAAAAGTCTATTGCTCTGCTTCAGGTAATTGGAGAAAAATGAATAATAATAAATAATAATTATGATAATAATAATAATAAAAAAAATTAATAATAATAATAATAATAATGATTATGATAATAATAATAATGTTTCTTACTTAATACCATTGAAATGGATTTTTTCATTATCGCAACGATTAACAGTGAAGATGGTGATGATGATGATGATGATCGGATGATGATGATGATGTTTTGTTGATTACATTAATATTATTAATAATAATAAAAATAATAATAATTAACAGCAATAATAATTATATCAATTCTAATTTGATAATATACTAATATAAAAAATATATATAAATCTTGTAAAATCGAACCAGTACAGAAAACAATAATAATAATATGAACAATTATAACAATAATAATAATAATTATTATTATTATTAAAATTATTATTAATATTAGATTAATATGATATAATAATTTTATAAAATAAAACATAAAAATGTGAAAAATCAGTTAAAAAGATAATTTAACAATTAGTAAATAATTACTAATAATATCGTCACCGATGCTAAAATTAATACTACCAACAACAATAATAACAATAATAATAAGTCATAATTAACAACAATAATAATAAAAATTATAATAATACAATAATTATAAATAATAATAATAATGATAATAGTGAAACGTTCATATGTTCATTTCTGAGCAGGACCGGCCATAACTTTTTTGATGAATTCTGAAAATATAATATTGTCAATTAATTATTTTCTTCATTATTATTATTATTATTATTATTATTATTGTTATTATTATAATTATTATGATAATTATAATTGTAATTATGATAACTATAATTGTAATTATGGGCAGTAAGTACCTTCATACTTAACATTTCCGTCTAGATCTTCTTCAGTGTTTGTGTACCTTAATATGAGGTCCACCTCTGAGTCTGTCAATCTCTCGCCTAATTTTAGTGGATGGATGGATGGAGAGAATGAGTATGAATGGATGGAGAGAGAAGGAGTATGGATGGAGAGAGATAGAGACCCTAATCTACATTTAAACACTCCAACACCAAAATCAAACAATCACAAGTCAAATCCTGACAAAAAAATACAAACTCAAAGACAATTTCTTATCAAATTCAAGCCAAGCCACAAAAAATTCAAATTTTCAAACTTCAAACCCCAGGACCTAGGTTAGTGAGAATTTGCCTCAGTTCGGCCATAGCCATGTAGCCTTGACCTTCTCGGTCGAAAGTTTTGAAGGCTTCCATGAAATCTGCAAAAGTCCCCACATCTTTCTCCTCGCTCAGAGATTTGTAGACGGGCAGAATTTCTTCGAATTTGTACTGTTTTTCGCCTATGACAAATTTGGTAGTGGCGATTGTTGGTTGGTTATTACAAACATACACACACATGTGCACACCACACATACGTACACACACACACACACGTACACATACATACGTACCAGCATATAGATACATTACATACACAAAATATTTGAACGAATTTGGGTACACATACATGAATTCTTACATACGTACGCACATATTTTGCATACATACAAACACACAAACATACATACATACATACAAACAGACATACAAACGTACATACATATAAACAAACATACATACAAACATGGATACACACGTACGTACATTCATATTGAATCGTGTGATAAAAATTTATTAAGCAGCAAATTTGATAAGATGAGATTTAGGGTGTAGAGTTGGAGGTTTTTGTTGTAAACAAATGTTATTATTGTTGCTACTATAACAGTAATAATAACAATAACTATTATTATAATTATTATTTACACAATAAATATCATTTATTTCACCATAAATATTATTAATTTTCTAATTTTTCATTATTTACTCACATGGTTTTTTGCACTGTTATTTACGAAAATTTTTAGTCTAATGTATGTGGCTATGTTTGTTTTTATGTTTTATTGTTTATTTGTATGTCTGTATGTATGTTTGTTTTTTTGTGTATATGTATGTATGTGTGAATGTTTGTTTGTATGTATGTAAAAACTCGAACATAGCGAGCAGTCAGCGAGAGTCTTCGGTGGAAGAGTTTCCGTCAAGGAGTGACTCACCCGTTTAACTTACTGACACCCTCGAGAAACAGAGCCACATCCAGAGATCAGTTGGATGTCTCTTGCTGAGCAAACGAGTTGCCTCGCTTTGAAATCACAATCTTTTAGACTGAAAAATTGTGCAGGCGTGCCAGACAGTTCAGATGTAAACGTATCACGATGTGAGTTATATCGACGAGCCAAGTACCACGCTAAGCCGAATCTGGGAGTGTTGAGCAATCGG